ATAACTTTAATTAAATTGTAAATTTAATGTTTACTCATAATATTGTTCGCATTATATTTATACGTGTTCTGAATACTTTTCCAATATTATAGTAAATGGCCAGTTCGTTAAAAACTCCAGATAATTTACTAACAATACCACTCAACATACACAACTGGAAAGTATTTGATTTGATGATTGCAAAAACCACACGAATCACATTTTTTGTGAAACGTCATGAGTCAGAAAACTTTGAAAATCAATAATAAAAAAACATCATATTATTTAAATACACAAATTATGTATAATCAGTGCATAATATATTTCTACAAGTATTCATTTTTAAATAAGAATTTTTTTCAAATTATTTAAATTATACACTTTTTATCAATTACCCAAAAGTTTTAAAAAATTGACTCATGTCGTTTCTGCAATCATCGATTCAGTTATATTTACGTAATATGTTATTCCACTCCGTAATTGCCTATACACTTATTAGGTAATATTTGCATACAGTCATAGAACAATTAATGTGGTATGATACGATAGAGTTCAATATTAATTAATACAATAATAATACTTATAATATATCATTATTCATTATACTTGTAAATTGTAATAAAACTATATAATAAAATAATACACAACAATAATAATATTATTAAGCAATAAAATAATAATCCTGAGAACAATGTGACACGTCAATCACTTTGTATTTATTTACAAATTTAATAATTTTAGGCATTATCACTTAAAGCATCATAATATATATATTGAACATAATTAATATAACAATGGCTATTAAACGTATTTCAACGTGATTACGAACGTCTATACTCCATGTTACAAGATAGATTCAATAGGTGTCTATCTTGTACGTATAAAAAAGCAATACCAAAAATTTAACAAAGAGACTAGGTATTCTTAAAAATTTTACAGATGAACATTAATAAATAATGCTAAATTAGTATGGAAAAAAAAATTGTATTAATAAATATATTGAAACATGGTTTTGTTAAATAAATGTTACAATAAAATTGTAAAATTTTTATGTAGGAGTGCGGGGAACGAAGCCTTCTGCGGGCCTGTTCTATGCGTATAATTTTAGCCCCCCCCCTTTTAACAAACCAAATTTACGCCTATGATTTTTATATGCATGAACATCAATTTTTATAACCTACTTTAATAATATCAAAGCAACACGATGAAAATCAATTACAGCTGTTGAACTGTATTAAAATTGAAAATAAAAATATGCACACCTAAAAATCAAACTAAAAAAATAGTAAACAATTGGATACCACTCTATTAGGTATCGAGTGGATCACTATTATGGGTAAAATTTTACTTAACTTAAGCAGAGACAGTCTCTCAGCCTATATCATTAAATATATTCCGTGATATTTTATTTGTTTATATAACTACTGATCATTTATTTTACTTTAAGTATCTTCCGGTAGGCTGATGTTGGTATAATTTTTCATGAAAATATTACATTTATTATATTATTAGTATTTAATTATAATAATATATATTTATACCATATTGCATCGACATAACTCAAAATTTAATAACAGATGTTATATTTTTTTTTGTAAACACCATAAAACAGTAAAAATATATAGATTAATAGTATAAAGAGATAGTAATATTATCCTAAAATAAATCAAAAATATCATTGCGTATAATAAAATTCATGATAATTTAATAAAGTAAAAGCTTTAGGTTCATATGAATAATGTATTTAAATTATAAAGAATAATTAACATCATTACATATCGTTTAAATAAGTCCAAATTTAAACTTAAGATGTCTATAAAAATAATTCTTCTCATATATCTTTAAGATTTTATGATTTCATTATGAATTACTAATGAGAAATTTTGTAATTAATTTTCAAAACTTAGATATATAAAAAAAAAAGTTTTTATGAATTTCTTACAACAAAATAGTTTAGTTTTTTTTACTTCAAATGCATAAAAAAAAATGTGTGCTTATATATTTTTATATTTTTATATTGATATAAGAACAGTTTTTGTGGGATGTTGTATTTGATTTTCAAGAATTTTGACCAACAAATAATTTTTATCGACATTCATAAAAATAAATTTAAAATTAATTATGGTCATTAAAAAAACGTTCAATAATAATACTTTATTCTAGTTTGTTGTTTAATATATACAAGCATTTATAAGTGTAGCAGTAGCGTTTAAATAATGTAATTAATAACATAGAAGTATTTACGTAGTTCTAATTTAATTAAACTCAATAAATAAAATCATGCGTATGTTAATGTTATACGGTCATCAGTCGACAGTCATTATAGAATAATAATTAGTATATGAATATACAAATATTTTAAAGTATAAAAACAGGATAACTTATTCTGTTGTGTAGTAAATGAACGTCGACTGTACTTCATTAGTGAATAATATCACAATAATAAATATGTATATTTTGAATTTAATTATAAATCTAAATACTAAAAACGATTTTGAACTGAGATTTATATTAGATTATATCTATTTTTAAGAATAATGACATAATAGATAATTTTTCACTGCTATTATATACATTAATAATTTATTTTTCTATCAGTAATAACATAGTTTAAGTTTAACTAATTTTTGTTAAGACAGATAAACTATTATTACATAGAGATAGAAATACTAAATGTAAATTAATTCTTATAACTTAATACCGACCTATCGTGCATATACCGGTATGAATAGGTTCTGATATATTAACTATAAATAGCTTGAAGGGATTTGATCTCGTTTACCAAAATAAATCTACCTTTTGCCAAATGTATCGACTATCCTAGTCATCAGATAAAACTTATGAAACATGTTTGAATTCTCTTAACAATTTACTTCAAAATTACTTTTCAACTTATTTGAAATTAAACTCATAAAAACTCTATTAATTATTTTAAAACATTAATAATATTTAAAAAAAAAAAAATAATTAGTTAAAAAAATTGTAAGCAACCCATTTTCAAGTAAATTTTATGAAATATTTAAATGTATTTTCAGAAATGGTATGGAATAAATAGATAAGATACGATTAGCAAAAGATAAATATTTGTTGACTGTAATGACAAAAAAATTGTTATAATTAATAATAAAGTTACCGTGAGACTTAAATCATATGGTAAATTTGATATTTAATTGTAATATTTTTTACATTGTCTATCTGCGTATTACGATTACTTTTCCAACATTAAATAGTAAATGACCAATTCGTTTAAAACGCCAGATAATTTGAGTGATACTACTTAATATACTTTTCCAACAACAATAAAACAATATTTTAATTAATATTCATGCAATAAATTATTAATATATCCAGACATTTATAGGAATATTCCACTATTTATTTTACCAACAGTCATACATACACTAATTAATAATTAGTAATTACTAATTACCATTTACTACACACGAATTTACTAAACCCGCAAGCCGTAACATTAATTTAAAATATTGCCTATTTGAACTCCTTAGAATCAATCAGTATCAAAACTCCTTAAAATCACTTTAATTTGGCATTTTCATTCTGTAAACTAAATAATATCCCAACAAAAACACTACGCCAAACCCCGTGTAAAAAAAAAACGCTCAGTATAACAAAAAAACCACCGCAAAAAGTTGTGATATAATTTTATAGCTATTAGCTATGTATTTAAACTATATAGGAATAGATATATTATTATCATTTATGTTAAAATTCACTGCTTATAAATTGAACTTAGCTGGTGACTTTAAAATTATAACGCTTAATTAGTAATTTATAACAATTAATTTATATAACACTTAATTAGTATCACTCATTTTCAAACATAACACGTATACTCAATACCAAATGAATTCTCGTGAGTTTTAAATAATGTCACCAGCTAAGTTCAATTTATAAGCAGTGAATTTTAACATGAATGATAATAATATATCTATTCCTATATAGTTTAAATACACATGTATAAAATGATGTCACAACTTTTTGAGGTGGTTTTTTTTTTATACTGAGCGTTTTTTTACACGGGGTTTGACGTAGTGTTTTTGTTGGGATATCACTAATTTTTTTTATGTTATTATTATTATTATTATTATTGTTGTTGTTGTTATAATCATTATTATTAAATATTATTATAATAATATATATTATATATAATATTATATATATATATATATATTATATTATTATACTGCGTCGCTCCGCGAGCTGTTACGTATTAACTGGAAACACCACCGCCGCAAGCGCTGTAGCACGTTCGCAGCGCGTCGCGCGCCGAGTGGCCGAGTGGTAACGACAAAGCAGCGCGTACGGTCAGTGCGTATGTGCATCTCCTCAGTGGGCGGGGAACTTCCTGCGGGCCACAGGGTACGTTATCGAATAACATTTTCTTTTTTACCATAAAAGTTCATAATATATTTGGCTATAACTCCATTTATAATGTTCAGATCGGATTAAAAAGTGCAACATTCTCTTCTACGGAACATTTCCAATAAGATTGGTGCATTGTCAAACTAAATTATTCTACAAGAAATTAGATATGCACGGACAAATACCTGGCAGTTGTCGCGCGTTGTGATTGCCGATGCATTCATTTTAAGGTGTTTTTTTTGTTTTTTATACTTAGCGCAACCGGTAAAATACGATTGAGAACGTTAGTTGTGGTACACGATTGAGAACGCTCAATAAATTTTTTTTTCCAAAGTTGCAAATGTAATCGAAAGATAATTTGAGCACGATAATCGGCTATCGAACGATAAAGAACATTATACCATTTTGGCTGAACGATTGATCCGGTTGATATTTAATATTTATCGGACGTTTATCGGATGTTATTTATAACTTAGATACCAGATATACGAGAGAACGACTTAATACTCAATAGGCGTTGTAGTCGTCGCACAAACGTCAACGAAGTATTCGTCAATTTATGAAATATTATATTAAAATATATTAAATATTATAATATGGAACCTAATGAAATTAAAATTATACGAAGTGAACGAGGTGAAGATCTACTACTATTAAATAATAATAAATATCGTTTTATTAGGAAACGTAAAGACAAACGGTTGAAATGGAAGTGTTCAAATAATAAATGTACTGCAAGTATTCTAACAGACTCAGAAAAAAAATTATTGATTCAAAAACTCGGTAAGCATTATCATTCCGATATCCCTATCTCTACTATAGAACGTCAAGTTGTACGTGAAAACTGCAAGCGAAAAGCCGTAGATTGCGTTTCAGCAAAGCCGAGTAAAATAATACACACTGAACTTTCAACAGACAATTATTCAACTCTATCTCATAAAGACCATAATAATTTTAGGAAAACCATGTACACCGAACGAAGAAAATGTTATCCACCATTTCCTAAGTCACTCAATGAAGCATTTACTCAGCTTAAGGAAAATCAAAATGAAAACACTTTTATGTATAAAGGCCAACAATTTATTCACATACCTGACAATCAACTGTTTATATGTTTAACTACAATACAAAATATGGAATTTATGACGACTTGTACTGACTTTTTTGGCGACGGTATATTTGAATATGCACCGAAATATTTTGTTCAGCTTTACACAATTCATTGTTTTAAAAATGGCCATTATATTCCTGTAGTATACTTTTTTTTAAATGACAAATTAAAAGAAACGTACAGTAACATGTGGAAGTTTATTGTTGATTTATGTTTTAAAATGACAAACCGAGTGTTAAACATTACTAATTTGCACTTGGATTTTGAAGTTGGAGCCCATGAAGCAGCGGTAGAAATCTTCCCTCAAGTTAATATTATTGGTTGCAGATACCATCTAGGACAAGCATGGTGGCGAAAGGTAAATTAAAAATAAATTATACTTATAATTATTTTATTATTTTCATTTTTCTAACAGTAAACTTTTAAAATTATAGCAATAAAAAATTGGGAGGTATATCATTTTAATTGAACATTTATTTTTATTTTAGATAAATAGTGAAAGTAAACTTCGAAATGCATATAAAAATGTTGATGATGACTTAGGAAATTGGCTAAAGATGTTTTTTGGTCTTCAATTTATAAACCATGACGAAGTTGAGGATGCATTCGTGGAGTTAATCGCTGTTTGCCCAAATGAAGAAATTGGTCACATTTTTTCAGATTATATTTTAGATAATTACATAGAGCCTGGCTGTCCGTTCAATACGAAATTGTGGGCAATGAAACCTTCGGAAAATCGCAGGTAAGTTTCAAATAAATTAATACATGCAAATTAATAATTACTATAATTATTAACTTTCTAGGACTATTAATGCCGCTGAAAGCTTTCATAGAACATTTAACGACCAATTTTACAGTTCTCATCCAGCAATATATATTGTTATTCAAACACTAATTGAAACACAATCAGAAACTTCATTAACAATAACAACGATAGAACGGTGTAAAATAAATGAAGTTTTAATAAAAGAAAATGAAAAACTAATTAATATTCATAATAAATATATGTGGTATGTAGCAAATAAAAGTTCAAGTAATTTATTAAAATATTTAGAGTATGTTGGATTACGCTATCTTGCTATAAATAATTTATAGATAACTCATTTGTCATTACTTATTACTTATTTATTACATTTTTATACATAGGTATTACATTTTTTTTTTTTTTTAATTCTTCATTTTTTTAAATTGTTTAAACATATTTATATTACATATGACTTTTTTCTAGAATATTTGTTAAATGATAAGTAATAAATGATATGGCAACGTTGCACGTAAATTCGTTCTCATTGTATTCTTTTTTAGGTTTTTTTAGAGTCAGTGGTAAGTTCTTTGTTATTTTTAAAAAGGTATAACGTACTCAATCGTTGGATAGCCATCGCGACCCTGTCGGGTCGTTGAATAAGTAGTGGCAAAAAGGTTCAAAAATCAACAAAACAAAAATAACAAAATAATATTGTAATAGGCGATACGTATTTATCTAAAGTTAAAATTGAAATGCCAAGATAAAAAAAATGTAAAATGATTTTCAGATTTTTCTAAGAACAATTTATAAGATGAGATTTAATTTGCAAACCTTAAATATGAAAATTGACCATTTTATTGGTTTTTAACTAAAAAATGATTTGTTAATTTTCGTGATTTTGATGAATTTTGTAAGAATTTCAAATTGAATAGTAAAAAAAAAGTAGTAAGTTTCAAATACAGTAGAGCCTTTATAGTACGGACGAATTCAGATTCAGACCGAGCATCGTCCGGATTACTGAAGGGTTTTATATTTATTTTATATTTATATTTATATTTATTGCACTTTAAATTATAAAAATAATGAATAACTTTAACATAATAAATTTTAAAAAAAAGTGTTTAAAATAGTCAGTAATTTTTTTTTTTAATAATATTTTTAATTCCGAACAAACTACAAATGTTTTACGAACAAATGGACTTTTACCGTTCGGATTACCGCGTTGATCGAGGCTCTACTGTAACTATAAATAATTCATAAAGTGAGAAAATATTTTTAAAATAATATCATGTCTAGTAAATGTTAAAATATGAGTACTTGGTGATTATTTTAAGATCATTTCTAACTTTTAAATTGAAAATCAAATTATTTTTTATGCTTTTAAATGTAATGAGAGACAAAAATATCAATTCATTCATAGCCAATCAGAACCTAGTATTTTGAAAATATTATCACGTATTTACATAAATAAATTGAACTTAAGTACCGTAGTTATAATTGTATATTATTTTAGTATTTTATAAATAAAAGAATTACATACAGTGTATAAATATATGTTCAAACTTCAAATTAACATTACACATTATATTTTCCTTAAAATTCTTTATGGTATAGAAGCTGTTATGAAAATTGTGATGATTGACAAGATAAAATAACTTTTAGAAAGAACTGCGTCTATTTCCAATAGTAATACCATATAATAATACGAACATGATAAACAATTAGTATTTTCAATTAATTTATGTTAGACACACTGAATTCATAAAGCTAAATAATTAAATATTGTTATATAACTAACTACTTTTTATTAAAATTCTTACATAATCACATATACTAATATTTTTATATTTTTATAACATTATTTTATTACACATATTAAGCACATCCAAGTACAATAAATTACACCTGAAATAATTATTTAACTATTGCCAAACTAAACAATTCATTGACAACCGGTTAAAACGAATACAAGTCCAGAATAAATTATTAAACTGTTGAAACATTTTTAATGAGTGTCTAAAAACATATTATGATTACTGATTAATTACCTTAAATATTTTCTATATTAAGTAAGATATTTAATTTCCAATTAGTTAATAGATCTACGTGAAAGTCTTGAAACATTCTTTCTACATAGTCACTTAATTCGATAAAAGATTTAATAAAGAAAATAATATTTCTTTATTGTTAGTCAATATATTCCTGATCCGCCCAAAATCTGACTATTTTAAAACTACTGTTTACTGAATATAAATGTAAATTATAATAGAAATATTCAGAAAATAATAATTATTGTGTTTCAGCTTGAACGAACTATTATTTATTTTATGCGTTAAAATTAAATAAGTATCTTACGAAATTTAATATAATATATTTAACTAATTAACAATAATTTAAATGAATTTAATGTTACTTAGACAACAACTGGAATTATTGTACATAGTATTTTTTAAATACTCAGATATTATATCGTACTTAAACTAGCTTAAAATTGTTTTTAGAATATCACTGAATATGAGTAGGTACTATATATACTATTACAAAAAAAAAGTTAGGTAATTAACAATTTATAATCGTGAAATAATACTTCAAAAGATTACCTATGATTGTTAATAAACTTTAAAATCGTATACATTGAAAACAATAATATAAAACAGCTAATTTTATTTTTATACACCTAGTTCATTAAATGGAAAAAATTCAACGAAATAATTGTTATTATTAATTAATTAATATTTTGAAGCAATTGTTCCCAAACTTTTCCCACTTGTGACGCACTTTTTGGGCTAAGATTTTCTCAAGGTGCTTTTTTCAAGATTCTTTACGAAAGTTAAACTAGACACTTACAAGATATTTAATTTTCAAGTTTATTTTTAGACTAGATAAAATTCTAGGCATTGACGGCGGCGGCGACGGCGTCCTTTTGCTAACAACGCAGCGCGCTAGGCCACAGCAACGCACACTTTGAGAACAATTGCTTTAAAGTTTAAATTCTTAGTACTGTGTGAAGATTAAGTTAATATTTTTTAAGCCATGTATTGACATAATAAGTTATATTATATAATTATTAGGTGCTTAGATAATCATGTAAAAAATAATTTAATATCTTCTTATCTAATAAGATTTTATTTCAAGTTAAATATAATTCTGAATATAGGTGATAATAATATTATACAAAATAACGTTTTAATTTACACGCGAGCGGTCAAATTACTTTATTATATGTTTGTTCAAATACAAAAAGAATAATTTTTCGCTATTAGCTTATCACGTGACATTCAATATATTTAATAATCATTAATAATTATTCATGTTTTAAATATTTTTTATGAGAATTTTTAAGAACTACTTACTACCTAATATTTCAAATATTTCAAATAAGGAATTGGAAAATATTTTTCTTTTAAAAAATTTTATATTTATTTGTATTTTTTTATATTTCATATAGATCAACAGATACTTAACCATTGGCTAAAACTATTATTTAATTGAAAAATACTACCTTCTTTATTTCTGATTATAGGAATCACTTTTTGTCTATTATATTGTGGTTTAAATAACTAGTTATAAGGGATGATAATATTATTGTTCAGAGTTTATAAGAAAACTAAAACATATTTTATACAAGTTATACATTAGGTTGCTACAAAGTTAAAGCTTCTTAAAATCGTCATTCAAACAATATAATCGATCATAATTTTCATATATATTATTCTATTTATAATAGATAGTGAATTAGAATTATGCTATGAAAATAAAATGTCAAATCACCCTTATTTAAGTTCCATTCTTAATTTGTTTTATGTAAATATTGCTCTTCGAGTATATTTTATATATAATATGTAAATTATAGTGAGTACTTTTGCAAAATCAATATTTTTTGTCCCATTTTCAATATTTAAACTAACTATATATTTTTTATTATTACTGGTGTGATTAAACATATTTGTATTGCTGATAATAATTGCTTATAATTCAAAAATGTATATTAAAAATTAAAAATTAAGTGACTGGTAGAAAATAATATAAATATACGATAATAATCAAGGAATAATGTGTAAACGAATATATTTTGTTTTGTTTACATTTCTTTATTTTTTCTTGTATATAACAATGGTTTATTTCTTTAAACGTCCCGGGACACAAAACGTGTGCTTCAAAAATACCCGAACCACAAGTTAAGTTTTACCTACATGACTGTGACCTTTTTTTGAATGGCGCAGTTGTTTACCAATTCCAGTAATCTTCTATTATACCGAATACCTGCTCGGGCCATTCAGCTCGAAGTTAAAACATGTCTTTTGTGTACATTAGCGTTTTGAATAGGCACCTCAATTCACAATGATTTAGATAACAAAGCAGTATTTTTCTATATATTGATTATTCCTTTTAAGCTTATTATACAAGTCACGTGTTTAAATTATCAAATCATTTCCAAATATTGTATAAAACTTTATGTAAAAAAAAATATAAATATGAAATCACGAATAAACTATCGAATAAGCTTAGCATTTATAGGAGAAAAATGAATGTGGAAATGAGTTCTTTATAGTTTATAATATGCCAAACAAATTTAACTCACTGATATTTTTCAGCTTGTATTATATTTTAACATAAATAAAATATGTGCATATTAAATAGAAAAAATTTAATATTAGTAAGTTAATGGGAAAAATATTGTTTTAGGTAGTAAATATAAATTTTAAACTAAAGTATGATGTCTTGATTTTATTGGCAATTAAAATTAAGTAAGTATAAAGAATTCGTAAAAAAATTATGCTATAATAATTATTAATGTATGAAGGATGAGTGTTATATATATATGTACTTAATATTATTAAAAATTTCAAATTGTTTTTTCATTGTTTCTATTGCTAATCATTATTCAACAATACCAGATTGATAAATAATTAAAATTACTTCTCATTGATTTTAAAAATGTGAATCAAATAATATTAATATTTTACAAACTGAATATAGCATTTAAAGAAAGTTGACTTTTAACTCTTGCATCAACTACCGTATAATTATATTGCATTATAAAATAATGTAGAAAAGTGTTTTGTGGCTTGGCGTGGCGCGTTGGCTGCTTCCAGTTGCGGAATGCCACTGGGAGTAAGTAACGGCCACAGCTTCTAGCTCTCGGATGGGTGACCATTCGGGATCATAGTGGTTAAAAACCTTGCCACACATACACGTGTTTGCTATCAACCGTATCAATCGTAAAAAATACAACCTACCGAACCAACCTTACTTAAAAACCCAATGGCCTTAGTAGCCGCGGGTCAACTAAATAAAAAAAAAAAAAAAAAAAAAAAAAAAAAGTGTTTTACTTGAAAGTTTTAAAATA